TCTATGCTGCGCAAGTACAATCCGGACCCTTCTCATGTCGTGGCTCATGAACCGCTTTCACTCCGAGAGGACTTGTCTTATGAAGAAGTACCGGTCAGTATCACGGACCGAGAAAGCAGAATACTCCGTAACCGGGAAATATCATTTGTAAAAGTCTTGTGGCAGAACCACACGCCTAGGGAGGCGACTTGGGAGCTGGAATCAGAATTTAGGGCCCAACATCCTCATCTGTTTGATCAAGAGTAATGAGGCAAATTTGGGGACCAAATTTCTTTATGGGGGGGAGAGTTGTAGCACCCGGAAAGGAGGAGGAAAAAAAAAAAATAAAAAAAAAAAAATAATAAAAAAAAAAGGGGGGGGGGCCACGTCAGCAGGCCCGGTCAGCAGTCCCGGCCAACCGGGGCCTGCCACGTGGCAAGATCGCGTCACTCCAAAAGGAGCCACGTTGGCGATCCGCGTGGGTGCGATCCGACGGCCCAGATCAATCGTGCGATCGGACGGTCCAGATTCAAACGCACGGACGGCCCAGATTCAATCAAAAACGAACGGCCCAGATTAAAACGAAACGAACGGCTGTGATCAAAAGGCAAGGGGTTATAAATAGAACCCCCACACCAGACCACAAACCCTAGCCGCCAGCCGCTCGCCGGAGAAGACGAACCAGAGGCCGACCGCCGCCACCCGCCGCCACTCGCCGCCGCACCGGGGAAATTTCCGACCGCCGATCGAGGTAAATTTCATACCCCCGACTCGTTTTTCCCCACTGATTCCTCCTATGGCCAAATCGAAGCCGAAATCCCGGCCAAACGGCCGGAATACGCGGCCGAAGCCCAACGGCGCCGCCGCGCCCCCTCTCGGTTTTTGCCTCCGACGAGGCCCTTCCCGGCCTCCGTTCAATGCAATTTTTATATCACCGTGATCACCATTCTTTTCTCTACAGGTTGACCGAAGCCAAATCACCAAAACACGAACCTCGCCGGAGAGTCGCTGCACCCGAGAGCGCCGCCGCCGGTAAGCTCCGTTTTTCCGTGATTTTTTGGCCCCCCGAGGGCCCTAGGGTTGTTTTCTGACAAGGACCAATGCGAGCGTGGCCGAATTCGGCCGAAAACGGCCGAAAACAGCCAACCCGAGGTGACTCGCCGCCGCCAGCGGCGGCGCCGTCGCCGGAGCACGGCGGAGCCGCCGTGCCGGAGTTGCGATTTGGGCCGAAAGAGGCCCTGGGCCTAATTTGGATTTTTTTTGGAACACGTGCAGGTACTCTTAGTGTGTTTCAGTTTCCCGGGAAAAAAATTCAGGGAAAATTAGGGACGGCCTGCAGGCGCACTGTGAATCGTATTCGGATCTCGAAAACAAGTAAGGACCCCTCACCCTATTTCCTATCACGGTATTAAAGTTCAAAATGATAAAACGGTATTTCTTGAATTAACGAATGTGTGAAATTGCTTAAGGTGGCTAATGGAGCCCGAGTCTAGTGTGATTGATGATTTACTGTTATTTGGCCTGTTTACAGCTTTAAATGCAAAATGAGGTTTGATGTGTTCATTTTATAGATTTGTGTGCATGTACTACGTTTTTATTAATTATGGGTTGAATGACTGAAAAACTGATACTGTATGTTGTCTGTTTGGTATGAATTACGATTTGCTTGTTTAAATGTGAATTGATGATGCTGATTGAGGAAAAGGAAAATGAAAGATTGTGTAGACTGATAATTGTATTATGGGGGTCAGCCTGACTAGATATCCTGGGAGATGGTGGACGGACCAGGTCCGTAGGGAACCCTACCGGGATTGTGGTCTCACATGCCGGACGGGGTATGGAGATCTTATGGTTTTGGCGCCCATACCGGACGGGGTATGGGGACGGCCCGTTCACCCTCATACCGGACGGGGTACTGAGGTTTATGGTTTTGGCGCCCATACCGGACGGGGTATGGGGACGGCCCGTTTCACCCTCATACCGGACGGGGTATTGAGGTTCATGGTTTTGGCGCCCATACCGGACGGGGTATGGGGACGGCCCTGGAAACTGATTATGAATGTTAAAGGTTAACGGGTAGCGGAACCCCTATGGACCCCCACGGATACTAGTAGGCTGGTAAATGAGAAAAAGATATGTTGTAAAATGATTGAATTACAAGAGGCGTGATAAGTGTTATGTTTTACAGCTTAGATTATTCAATTATTATGATAATGTTATTGTTTTTCTCATATTGTTTTCATAAATTCCACCAAGGTAAGTGGATGGTCAAAGTTTTATTATTGATAAAAGGTTTTGTTGTTAATAAACGAGTTTATTGTAAATTATGCTCCATTGGTCTTTTTGTGGTTTTTTACCCACCTTTATCTCCGTGACGGTGAGATATCGTGATGTTCTTACTGGGCTAGTGTAGCTCACTCCTTAATTAACCATTTCAGATCAGGAAGACATGGTTCCCGAGCCCGTTCCGCAGGAGGACGACGAAGGGGATGCCTAGAGACTCTGTAGTCATACGCATAGTTTTATTTTCGAGTTTCTTTCTTAGTTAGTTTAATCTTTTATATTTTAAGTACGTTTTTGGTTTTTCGTGTAAGGGATGTTAAATGAAATTTTGATCTCGCTTCCGCATTCGATATATTTAAATACTCATTTCATTTTAATATTTTCCGGGGCCGTTACAGACGCAATAGAAAATTCAGTATTTCAGACACCAATTCAGGTAAGAATCTTTCACCTTATTCTTGGTTATGGAATTGAAGTCTAATTATCAATAATACAGTATTTTGCGTAATTTAGAAAGTTTTGAAAATTAATTACATGTTACTAATGGAGTCAG